AAAATATTTTCTCAGTAATATTGAGGACACTAAATGTGGGATACTGGGTGTTTCTAAACATATTTTTAGAGTATTAGATATCATAAAAAATTATTTTGGGATACAGGTTGTTACTAAAAAAATACTTTAAGATGTTAAATACATAAATAATTATTTTAGAACATTGAGTGTTACTGAAAAAACAATAATGTTACTTATCACAATTATTTTACTCACTTACGATTTTATTTTTCCAATGAAAGAGAGATTTTTATGGTTGCATAAAATGTATGGGAGGAGGAATCATTTTTATTAATTTATTATTAGTATAACTAGTTCTTTTTCATCCGCCCGCCTCCTCCCCCTCTCATTTAATTTTTTTGGCACCTTTTTGCACCGCGCACAGCGTCGTATTGGGGCAGCGGACAGGGGTGGATGAAAAGGGTAAAGGAGAGAAGCTGAATCCCAAAAAGACGCGTGGGCATGTCCATAAAAAATTCATTTTTTGACCAACAAAGGCTCCGGATTCAAACCCCAAAAAAGAAAATAAGAAAAAAAAATTAAAGAGAGAATGACAGAAAAAGAAGCTGAAATTACAAATTCAAAATAAAATTTGGTAACACAACTTTATTTTATATTGACAGTTTTGAATTTGCAAATAACAACAAATTTTTGTTGACATTTCTTGTTTGACATTTACAAAACTCCAACTTCTTTTTTGGTCATTGCCCCCTGCTAACTGTACCTGATTATTATTACTTATCAAGTTTGTCAATAATAGTGAGTTAGATAATTAATTTAGAAAGATTAAAAAAATTAGTTAATTTAGTTATTTATAACAAATGTATGCTGGCTTCTCCAAACTATCATATTTAATTATATATAATAAAACCACTTTTTAGTAAAAAATTTATAATTAATAACAATATTTTGAATAGAATATTATAAACATATTATGATTAGCTAGTGTGTTGCATGGATTGATACACGTAATCACATGATAAAACAAAAGAAGATGGAAGGTAATGTCATGAGCTTTTTGACATTAAACGATGTCGAATTCTGGACCACAGCTACAAAACGCGTCAGTGCACGACTAATTATTTACAAAAGAACGGGTCAAAAACACCAGAACTTTTGTCAAAGGATTCAGAAATAAATAAATAAATAGTTATGACTAATTAGTATTTTTTTTATTTTATATGGTGTTTCACTGTTTCGAGGTCCAAACAGAATGTGCAGCCAATGATTGTAAGCTTTCGTGCATGCATGCTATGCTCCCATTAACATCACTTCTGTCTACTTCACAGAGAAAAGTTTGCCACTGAAGTGATATTTACAGTAACATTAACTCACTTATTCTTTTGCTTTTTTAAAAAATAAAGTAGAAAGAATGATCTATGGAAAAAATGCTTGGTGGTCTTTTTCAAAAATAAATATTAGTGGCAATGACTCAGGAAGTTAAAAATTAAATTAGACACAAGATTATCAAAATATATTGATCCCAAGTTTTTTCCCTTTAAAAAAAATTGAATTACAGATTTTTTTTTTATGTTGATATTAATGTGGGTATAAAAGGGGGCAACTTCCCAATCAACCACCAACGTCCAACACACATACAAGTATAGTGGTCCCTTGATTGTTGTAAGATTTAATAATTAAGTTGATTTTAATTTTAAATATAAAATATTTTTATTATATTTATTAATTTTTTTAAATTATTCATATTGATACTTTTTCAACTATAATCAAGTAAAAGAAAGGGAGAAATATTAAGGAGGATAATTATGATGTTTAAAAAAAAATATGTTATATTTCTTGTACTAAATTATCTAATTTTTTAAATATTATCAAATTAATTAAATAGGTTTTAGCCATACTTAGAGGAGAGGGAGCGTGTGTGTGTGTGTATAATTACATGAGTATCCAAGACACAAGCCTCATAAGTCAAATTTAGATTTTAGATACCTTATAGGATCTAAATCTGTGCTCAATGCTAGTTTGTTTAAAATTCATATTAAAAATAATGATTTTAGTTTGGGGAGTAAACAGGAGAAAACCCTGAGCTAAATAGTATATTTTTAACTTATTAAAGCAAGATAAAAATCGATTATTTTCAACACATTCTCATATTTATTCCGGAGTTTTTTCCCTCTCCATTTTGTGCCTTACTTCTTCAATTCTCCTTTATTAAATTGACTTTTGATAAATGAACTTTTAACGAACTGACTTTTGCTAAATTAAAATCTAAACACACCGTCACATGTAATGTCATATAGCCATGAAACCATTTAGTTTAATTGGTAAGAAATTATGGTAATTTAATTAGAAGTCTCGAATTTAATTTTAGAAATAAATATAACGATGTTAAATACTTAGTGCTGAAATTTATTGCCAAAAAAAGGGACAAAAGGACAATAAAATATCTTAAAAATTGTTAAAAGATAAATCACTGTGGGTGACTTTTAAAACAATGACCGATCACTAGAACTCTAGTGATTACTCTTTCTTATATGTTGACTATTTTTTTTAATTATTGACTATATTTATTTTTAGAACTCTAATGACTATTTTTATTTAGCTATTGACTACTTTAGTATTGCGATTGACTGCTTTTATCTTTAAATTTTTGGTGACTACTCTTATTTAGCTATTGACTACTAGTTTGTTATTGTTTGTTATTGACTATTTTTATTTCAAAATTCAAAAAATACATTAAGTATTGTTGAAGACCTGGTGACTACTTTTTGTTTAGTTATTTACTTCTTTTTTTTGGCCAAATTTGTTTAGTTATTTACTATTATTATGTAATCCATAGCTATATAAAAGTAGTTATCATAACTTTAAAAATAAAAATAGTTAATAGTTAAATTAGAGTAGTTAATAGTTATATAAAAGCAGCCACTAAAAATAAAGATAGTGTTATCATTTTATAATATTTTAAAATTATAAAATAGTACAAAGGGTCTTATTTAAGATTTTAAAATTTACCTACCTTAATTTTTCTTTTAACATTTTTAAGAGTATTTTAGTTTTTTTTTCCTAAAAAAAATCCCACTCGGTTTGATCAAATTAGTTGTTGATGTGCAGGACAGCTGCTTCAGCCTTCAAGCACCATCATCCCACCTGAGACGCTGTGGGGTCCTTATATTTGGAAAATAACCATTAGCATTCAAATATTCTCCTGTCTTTTAGAATTAATTTCTATTTTTCTCTGCTTTTCCCCTTTCTTTTCAAAGATCTGATTTATGATTATGACCAGAACTGGATACCCTGAGCTCAAAAATAAAAATAAAAATTCACAAGTTTTAGTCATTTTCACCCCCTTTAATTTTTAGTCATTTTTTCCATCTTCCAACCAAACCCCGCTTAACTCGTATACGTAGTCATGTATAGTTTCTTTTCACAATGTTTCTGGGTTTTCATTTCATTCTCAATTCATTTTTGCATACAATTGTGACTTATTAATTAATATGTCCAGTCTCTAATACCACTCGCTGTTATGAGTCTTATATTGTGGAATCTCACAAGTGTTATGGGGTTTATAAGTTCAAGGGGTTCTGCCTTTTAATAAGTTAGTCTTTTGGGATTGGGCTCTTCTCTTAGACTTATGCTTATCATATTGGTACTTTCATTGGGAGTCGACCAACCGAAAAGGATTACCTGCGAAAAGTTCTGACTGGTAAGAAGACTAAGTGAAGTGCTATAGAGTGGAGCAGTTGGGGCGTCGGCTCTCGAGATGGGTGCTCTGTTATGAGTCCCATATTGGAAAATCTCACAAGTATTATAGGGTTTATAAGTTTAAGGAGTTTTCCTCCTAATAGATTAATCTTTTGGGATTGAGTTCTCCTTTTGAACTTATGCTCATCACACTCGCTCACAGGAAAAAAAAATATATAGGGATAAAAAATTAACATATCCAAGCTAGATAACTAATTTCAGGCCAAAAAGAGAAAAAGCCTGGACAGCCAAATTTTTTTAAAATAAAATTTCAGGCTATATTTATAAGCACCGGATCGGCTGTAGTTTGCTTACTTGACCCAAACTCGAATCATTCACAAAGCCATCGAAGAAAAAGCCACATTTCAATACTTTTAACATAACTTTACTGCTATAAAATACAATAATGTGAATCGTTTATGTATAACCTTTTGAGTTCAAACTGGGAAATGGACGATGAAAGAAAGAAAGAAAGAACAAAGGAAGAAAGGAAACCAAGATAGAACGAGTTTCCACATAGCTTTATTGGTCAAAAAGATAAGCGCAAGCACGTACACACAGCTTGATAAAATAGACCCGACATCTTGAAGCTTTAATCATTCCTCATGCCACACTTCCTCACCTTTCCTTCGTTCTTGTCATCAATCGCTATAACTCCTTGGCCATTTTTCACTCTTCCCATTCAACATTTGCTTCCAACAACTCATATATCCTCCTTTGGTATGATGGAAGAGTTTTTGATGAAAATAAAAGTGAAAGTAAAATTGAAAATAAAAACAAAAGTGGAAGAGGAAGTAAGTTTTTATACTATTCTCTTTCCTCGTAGCAGCTAGGTTTATTGTGAAAGTAGTAAAAGCATGTTCTTGAATCGAGTATAATGGTATTGTGCCATTTATGTAGCTGAGTATAAAGTCTGTGTCTAGTGAAAAAAGGTTTGTTACTGTTATTATTGTATTGGGATGACCAAAATGTTACTTTGAGTTTCACACGCACGTGCTATCTGCCACCCACTACCTAAAAAGCCAGGAAGAAGAAGATAATAATGATGATTCAATAAGGTCCAAGTTTGCCTACTTGATAAATCATCTTACATTTCCCATTTTTCCCCACCGAATTCCCCCCTCCTCTTTTTTGGTACACGAATCCTTTGTCCTTTGTGCTTTATTAAGAGCTTTGGAATTTTGTGACCCTTTTTTTCCAACTTCCTGTCCCCATGAATCAAAGTTAAAAGGGGAGCGTGCCCTTGCAAGACACTAGTACAAACTTCAATTTCCATCCCTTAGCATACACCCTGCAGAAAAATGGAAGATGAATGCTTATGCAGCCCTCTTAACTGGGAATTCTACCACCACCAAGAGGTATATACATGAATTGTTAGTTAGTTAGTTAGTTAATTCAGTTTTTGGTTGTGTCCTCAGCATTGTGATGTGGTAATTTGTTGAGCTGATCTTGCAGGGATTAGAGGAGCTGAAGCACGCTATTTTGCAGACAACCTTGGAGCTAGAGGAAGCGATTGTGTCTGCAAAAGAGGAGATTACAAGAAGAGAATGTGAGTTGATGGAAGTGAATGATGCTCTAAGCAAAGCCATTAAAGAGAGAGATGAATCCTTAGCACAATGCCGGAAGCTAGAGCAGGAAAATCTTCAGATCCAGCAACAAACTCTTCATCTGCAGACCCATAATGAAGATGGAGGCTTAAAGAAGCTGAAGTGTTTATCATCATCATCATCACCAGATACAGAGGCTTCATTATCATCATCAATAATATCATCCGGTTTTTATGAGTGTGAAGATGATGATGAGAAGAAGAAGAAGAGGAAGAAGGCATTGCCAGAGAAAGGGAAGCTTCTCAAGGCAGTGATAGCAGCTGGGCCTCTTCTTCAGACTCTGCTTATGGCTGGAGGACCCCTGCCTCAGTGGCAGCATCCTCCTCCTCTGCTTCACTCCATTGACATTCCACCATTCCCATCTTCTTCTTCTTCTTGTTCTCTTACTTCTTATTTCCTGCCTTCAAAATAAACACCGAATCTGATACTAACAATGTAGTTTAGCTTCTCCCTCCATTATTACCATTATGCATGTTTACGCCAAATATGTAAGTGTGTGTGTGTATATATACATAAGGGAGAATGGGGTAATGTGAGGTAAGTTCCTGTTAAAATATGGATGGGAATTGAGTAAGCTTTTTTAGATTGCGACCCAATTTTGTGCTTTGAGAAATAGATGGTGATGTAAGGTATTGTTGTAAGGTTAATATAATCTTTGGTCCTTCAAGTTTGTTTTTATTTTAGTTTTTGCCTTTTAAGTTTCAAACCATAAGTTTTGATATCTTAAATTTCTTTTTTTTTTTTATGAAGGTGAGACTGCTTATTATCTCAACTAACAGTTTATTGATGTCTATTTATTATTTAATTGTTATAACTTCATATTTGAAAATAATATAGTATATATGTTTTTTTTAAAAAAAAAATTTGATGAAAAGGCTCGTTATTGTTTTTTCAACCTAATTAAAGTAATTTATGCAGTTGCTTATACTAAATACTCCTTTTGCCTCATGTACGGGCTACTTTGTTTTTTATTTTTCCTTTTTTAGCATAAGTCATCTTATCAAATTTATTTTAGGAATGTACGATTTTATATCTAATTTTTTGTTCTATATTTATTATTTTCTTAGAATGAATATATATTAACTATAAATAAAATTAAAATTTTAAAATAAAGTTAATAAGATTTAATATTTTTTATTTTAATAAAGTATATTGAAAATGGCTCATGAATACAGTGTATTGCTGGCAGATAGAATGGAGTGCAGCAGCATAAAATGAGATGGAGGCGAGGGATCTGTAGCTTCTCGCGGCATTCTGTTTTAGTTTTTCTTGTTTGGGCTTTGGCCCTGTTTGTCTGCCAAACAAAAACGAAAAGGGATTGAAGCAATAACTGTTACTATTATTGTTTAGAGCGTCATTTTTTTTTAATAAAAGACTGAGTATCATAAATTCACCAAGAAAATTATCTTTCCTCATCAACCACCCCCTCTTGCCTAAAAAGTAGAGGTTGATCAAGGATACAAAAGTTTGCCTTCATATGGTGAGAGGACATTGCTAGGTAATCAACCAAAAACAAGTTATTCTTAGAGGAGTGTCTTACAATAACCTACCAATTCCTATGTAAGGCTAACCTAGTTTCCTCAGTAATATCTCTGAAAGGATGATTAGCATCACATCCTCTTACAACCAAATTGATCGCCTCAATAGAATGACAATATAGCATAATGGATCTATGTCCCTTAGCCCAACATATGTTAAGGCCATAAAGAATAGCAAAAATTTCAGCAACAACAGGAGGAATTGAAGTGAGTTTGCAGCTGAACCCTGTGATCCATTGTTCTTTTTTATCTCGATCGCTCCACCGCATCCGCTTCTTCCATCGTGCGGAACTTGTCCTTCTACCCCCAAAGTGATATAATCTCATAATGGCTGTGAGGGATTCACGGATTTCATGCTCATATTGTTGAAAAATGCCTCAAGCTTTAACTATATCATTATCCATACAAGCTCTTAAAAGACTCAACTGGACATTCTAAATTTCTGATCCTCACTAAAATCCGTCATCCTAAAGAGCTGATTACATCTTACGGTCCAAATGTCCCAATAGACGTAGCCAAAGAGTGTGGGCCATTGGAATTTTTTTAGTAAACTGCTTCCCCGCTTCATGCTTCAAGTCCTAGTGAGTCTATTCTACTCCTAACGGTTTAGAGTGTTATTTCCATACGCATATGTCACATAAGGATTATTTTTCCTTTTTTTTTTTTGTGTTGGCAGGTTGGCAAAAAATTATATATTTGTTTTGCCCTATTTATTTATGAGCCACATTGTTAAATTTTTTATATAAATATATAATTTTATCTTTTATTTATTATTGTTTGGACTGCAATTTTTTTTTTAAAAATTAAATAATAATGAAGTTGAAAAATTATTAAATTTTATACTAGAGTTAATGAAATTTAAAATTTTTCTTAATGTAAGAGGTAACTTATAAATATGATTAGAGAAATAGTATATTGGAAATTTAATTTAATTTTTTTGAAAGAAATTATGTTGGAAGAGCTGCTTTTAGTAACTGGTTCCGATACTTTGTTAATTAACAAGTACTATTCCGGTCCTTAATATAATATCTATTTAACTAATTTGATTAGATTAAAAAGTTAGGAAAGTTAGTTAATTATAAAAATATGACATGTTTTTTTTTCTAAAACACTATAATAATCTTTCTTAATATCCTCTCTCCCTCTTCTACTTAATTATGGTTGAGGGAGTATCCATATAGATAATTTAGGAAAAATTGATAAATATGAGAAATAGGTCTTATATTTACGACCAAAATTAACTCGACAATTAAGTCCTATATTAAGGACCGGAGAAGTAATACATCATTACATTAATCCTAATTCTAATCAAAACGAATATAGTACACAAATATAGAGCTAGTTTCAGTACTTACCATCTTGATGAGCACCTTAAACTAATCAGATCTGAATATCTATATCTTATTTGAATAATTCAAATTTATAATATTTAATTAATTATTTTTAAATAAAAAATTATTTTTTTGAAAAAATAATAGTTAAGAGAGTATCTCTATTTAGATTTTATACATATTAAAATAATTATTTTGAATAAATAAAAATGAAAAAAATCAAATCCAGACTATTGAATTGAAATATATCGACGATTAGGATCTAATAAGTTTAAAATGCTTAAGGGATGAGCACTCCCACAATATATATCAACTAATCACTATCACTATTCACTATTACATTAACATTAATTCCAATCAAACAGATACACAATTTGCCAATCAGAATCTCTACTACATTAATGTTAATTTCCACCAAACAAAATACTTAATCAGTAACGGATATATAATTTGCAATCAACAGCTGGTGCATATTAATCAATCTTGACTCTTTTTATTGTCTTTTAATCTAATTATAATGAATTATAGTAATTTTTATAGTACTTCATACTAAATATTAAATTTAAATAATATACTAAAGAGTCAGGTCCTTTAATTTTTTTTTTGTCAAAAGTAATTTAATCTTTCTATCTATCTACTTTTATATAAAAAAAAAACGTAGGAAAGGTGGTTTTAAGAATTGATTCCAATAATGCTTATATAAATTATTAATTACTAAGCAATTCATTATTTAATGTCTGTGATTTATAATAGTAGTAAGTGATATATTATTTAATATATTTTTATATTCAGTGTTACTTAATTTCAATAAAATAAAATATATAACCAGCGAACAGTATCCATAATTACATTTATGTTAATTTCCAAAGGGTTAATTAATCCACAAGTCCTTATAATTTTAATGAATTTTGAATCAGGTCCTTATAGTTTTTTTTCTTTTTATGAGATCCTTATACTTTTACTTTTTTTTTAATTAGGTCTTTGTATTTATTTTTCTTTTAATTAAGTCCTTATAATTTCACTAAATTTTTAATTAGGTCCATATAGTTTTAATTTTTATTTATTAATTAAATATAGGCTTAATTAAATAGATTAATATTGAAATATAAAATATTAATAATTAAATTAAATCAATAATTATGTAATAAAAAAGTAATGGAATTAATTAATTCAGGAAAATTTTTTAGAACGATTAATTTTTTGCTGAAAAAATTAAAATCATTATAATAATTCAATATCTTTAGAATATTATTGTTTATAAACTAATATTAAATAATATATACTATTTTATGTTTATATAATAGTACTATTAGAATTTATAAAATAAAGAATAAAAATTTAGGGATTTAATTAAAAATAAGGTGAACTTATAAAGACTTGATAAAAAGAAAAATAAATACAAGGATCTAATTAAAAACAAGTGAAAGTATAAGGACATGATAAAAAGAAAAAAAATTATAAGGACCTGATTCAAAATTAGTTGAAACTATAAGGAGCTGTGGATTAATTACCCCATTTCCAAATTAGTTAATTCATTATTATTGGATTTAACGTTAACACGTTATTATCGGTAATGGGTATGGAAATGTCAATCAATAACTGGCCTCCGTCAATCAATAACGGGAGGATTATCAATCACCAACGGTCGGATTCTGGAGCGGGAAAACTCACTTCCCCGCTCCCGCCAGAGCCACTTGCTTATATATACACTCCCGCGGTACTTTTAATTTAATTTATTTTCCAAGCCTCCTCTTTCTGATTCCCTTCTCCGTGCGATTGCGAGTTGCGATTTTCTAGTTTCCTTTTCACCTTTGGTAAGCAGAGTTCGTATGATTTTATTTCTCGTCAAATTCAGAGCCCAGACCGTATAGTTGAGTTCTGTATGATGTTTCAGCCTTTCAGGTATGGCTTTGATGTGTCTTTATCTGATGTCAGTGGTGGATCTAAGTTTTAATCATCGCATTTTCCTTTGTGTGGTACTGACACTTTAGTTTGGCAAGCGTCAGCTGTCTTTAAAATGATTATTCAGGTCTCTTGATGGTTATACTTCGCAGGCAATTAACCATATTGGCCTTCGTGTTGTGTACAATCATTTGCAAAATATTTAGGCTTCTGAATTATGCTTACTGCACTCTTTTCCTTCGGTTTTCTATTTATTTATCAATATTCGTCATTTCTCCATTGAGTTTTAATTTTATGTTATCTTGAGCCTTCGCCGTTATTATTTTACTGATATCTATAGGGTAGCGTTTGGACCTATCTTCGTGGCTAAAGTAACTGATGATATCACCTATCTCACTCTAAGAATAATTAGTTATTGCACTCAACTTTTAGAACATTTATTGTCAGCCTTCGGAGTTTCATGCAATTCTCCTTTCTCCTTGTAAAGTTCGGGTACCTTTTGCTTGTTGCCATATAGTGCCGGTGACTTCTCTGTGCAACCTGAACTTCGCGGTGGTTATTTGGCATTCAACTTGCAGGTAGCTTTCACCTTCTAAATCTTTCTAGTTTTAAAGTTATTTTAGAATGTAATTTTTTTTTAATAACTTTGCTGTTTTGCAATCTTTTGTACTTTTTCGTGGCCTATTATCTCCCTATTTGATTTAACAGTACTAGTGATGGGAAACTGGAGATTGGTTGAAGGAGAATTTACAAGCAAGTTGCAGTCTCAAAAATATGCTTTGGTATGTGTTGCTTGCGAGGTTAGAACCTAATAATATATTCACTTAGAAATTTACAGTCCCTGATTCAACATTTGTGGGGTCGTCTGCATGGCTGCCCGGTTGAGAATGATTCTAGATATTGTTAGGATTTCTTGTTTAAAACTGATCACGGGCAGATCTTTTGATCTGCTTTATCATTGAGAGCCTAAATGAAATTATTTGTTCAAGAAGACATTATCTTGTTTGATTTTTACTGTCTTGTCTTTCTGCTACGATGGTATATGGATAGTTTTAATTTAAATTTTTGTTAGTTTCTTAGACTGTTTGGATAGGTTAATCTGTCTGCCTCCGATCCATCTATTTATACGTGGTTAATATTTGGTATGATAAGATCAGAGCCTTGTCTCTGAATTTTTTCCTTGGTGTAAGGTCCTAAAGGGCATAACACATTGTCATGGTAAAATTTGGCTCCCAGATGGCTCAGAATTCAGAAAACAAGTGACTTCATCAGGATAAGTAACTTGTGTGTTCATTCAATTTATGAAAACTCTCCATTCATGATAATTTGGCACACATTGGATGGTAACAATTACATTCAATGGTCCCAGAGCATGCTTTATGCAGATTTCGGATGTGTTTGCATTAGTAATAATTCATCCCCACCCTGCCTAGTTCAAACAAGCCGAGTAGTTGGCCACATAAGGAAGTTTCTATAAAATATAAGGGTAACCAGAAAATTAGAAACTAAGACCTAGGAGATGGGATTAGTGGCTTAATGCTGATCAACAAGGATAAGTCTGTCTGAGACAAATCCTTTTGGTCTTTTTGGCAAGGAAAAGTAATCGTTGTTCAAAAAAAAAAATGTCTTGTAAATAAGGCTAAGAACATTGCAGAAACAATTTTGGGACATGGCACGATTGCTCAAGCAGTACTTGATCTTAGGGAAGAATATCAACAGTGCCACGATAATAGCAATATAAGTAGAGAGGGAGCATTGAAAACAGAGCACATCATTACATTGTGAGCCATTTCGTAGGTTTATTGAACACCAGTCCTGTATTTATGTCATTCGATAAGGCAACTTTGTTTGGATTTATCTTATTTTTGTTGTGATAAGATTATCATATTTTAAATTTCTGAGTTAGTTTATATAGATAGTTGTTCTTTCAGCCTCCAATCCATTTAATTTTGTATGGCTTGAGTAAGAATCAGAACACTGAATGTTTGAATTTCTTTAACGCTGCATAAGTGTTTTGGCAGATTTTCCAATACTAGAAGTTATACCACCAGATTCAGATTAGCAACGAACTTTTATTACAGCTATTCAAGACTATATATGATGGATACAACTGGGGGTAATCTTCTAATTGATACATTGGATGACAATTCCAACTTTAATTTATGCTAATCTTATTTCTTAACATTGTGTACTCACTATCTTGGAAAGGTACAATCTGGTGGTAATTCAAATGGTCCATTCCGTATAGTTGAGTTCCGCAAGATGGTTCAGGTATGACTTTGATGTTTCTTAATCTGATATCAGTCATAGATCTGAATCATAATCATACCCTTTTCCATTTTGTAGTAGCAAAACTTCAGTTTGGCACGTGTCAATTTTCTTTTAAAATGACATTTTTGGTGTCTTGATAGTTATATTCTTTACAGGCACTTAACCATATTGGCCTTCGTGTTGTGCAATCATCTGCAAGGAAGTGGGGCCCTCTGTGAACATTCTCGACGAGGTTATGAATTATCAAGTTTTGCTTGGTCCGCCTGTAATTGATTAAATATTCTATAGCATAGCTGTTATGTTAAGCTTAGTTTCTTTTTGTGAAACATTTGTCTGTTTTAGTATTGTTCATGCAAGTGCTATGCTCAACAAACCCGTTAACGTTCCATCTTAGACAGTAACGTGGAACAATCTTGATCGTTTGACCATTGATGATCTTATACACTTGGCACTCAATTACAAGTTAGTTTGTTTATATCATGTTGATAAAAACAAATTCGTACGCTACCTCCTAGACTTATGATTGAGGAGCTGCTTCCTCGCGTCTATCTAGATGTACCTTTTTACGTTTTTGTTAATACAATGCTGTTATATTTACCAGCCCTTTAGTGTTTTCCTTTAGTTTCTGCCATGGAAAGATTCTTATATTTTTACTAGAGTTTCATACGAGTCAAGTTACTGTTCCCCCCCCCCCCCCCCTTTTCAGATTGATGGGTTTAGATTTGATCTTACGGGTCACATTTTGAAGAGAACAATGGCATGTAGCTTTTGACATTTCGCGACGAGGGTTAAAACAGGCTTGTATGTATAGATGAATGCAAATTTTTATTCAGGAGACCTATCTACAGACAAGGCACTAAAGTGCAATAAATGTGTTTTGCTTTGCTAATTGTTGCAATCAAATTATTTATGGACGATTTCATATTTTACACTGCAAATAAGTTGAATAGTTCAAAGGATGATTTTAGCCTCTTAGGATGACAAGCAGAAGACTTGCCAACTATCTTACGTGCAATTATAATGAAGCCCTCACCCTTAAGTCAAGGATTGTCCACACTTTCCAAGCTACTAAAATAGGTGTTTAACAGCATATATCTATGCATGACATTCATAAACCCAATCAAGACATAAATTCAGGATTTTAGTGAGCATCTAGATGTTCTTGTTCTTTATGTTGTCTTTATTCGACAAGATTCACTGGGAAATTTATCTCAGTAATCTTCCATGCTCTCTCTTTTAATGATTTCCTTGCCATGTTTTCCCTAAATATTCTCCTTTCGACTTTTTTTTTCCCCTTCTCATTTTTCTTCACAGTTAAATCTTTGTGGAGCTGGAATTGGGAAGTAGGTATAATTTCTTCATGGACTTTATATATTAATTTTCTTTCCTATTGCTGCTTAAAATCAATGTCATGAGGCTGATAAGCTTGATAATCGCATAATTTTGTTTTGTTACTGAATTGCATCTGAACTATTTTGCTGAGGGCGGCACTGCTGCTTGTTATCTTAAACAAAACCTAGCTATAATAGCATAATTTGGCTTTTTATTAGTTTTTTAAGCGCTGCTTTTTTTTTGAGTGAATTTACCTTTCTTTCTCCATATAAGTTCCTTTAATTCCTTTATATAATTTCATGTTAAATCCACAAGTTATTGATAAAAAGCTATCAAGTGTAACTGGTTTGGATCTTGTTGCATGGCTTATAAGCTCGATGGAATGGATTCAGATTCCAAAATCTTTCTTTTTCAGTCCTCGTAACGGGGAATTCTACAACTACCTCGAGGTACAATCTAACCTATTAGTAAGAGACTCACGCCATAGGAACTGTTAGTCAATTCTTTTGATATAGTCTGAGTGATATCCTTGTTGAACTTGCAGGATCAGCGGAGCTGAGCTGCGCTTATTTGCACCAAACAATGTGGGTTGATCGAAATTGATGATGCTCAAGTGATTGCTGGCGCCGGGGGTAGCTCGTAAGATGAAGGTAATGGCGCGCTCTTGCTGTCACTTTCCCTCGTGATTCTCCTGTCCTTCTTTTATATCATTTGTTGGAAATCCCCTGAAAGAAAAACTCTATAAAATAACTTTTTTTCGAATCGTTACTAATATTTTTTTTTTCCAAAAATGTCTCTCCCTTGTATTTATTATGAATATAAATTTTTTATAACGTGTTCATATCTTCTCTCTCTGTGTCTCTGTGAGACTCCAAATTCGACCAATGAACGTATGATGCAGATTTTTTATGAATAAAAGCAAATGTAAATGAGTACATCTCACACTTTCAAGAGATTTCGTAAACACATCACTGTTTCTGATTCCTAGTGTAAGCAAGACGCTGAATGCGTAGGGAAGAACAAGCTGCCTCTTATCCCAGCACACAGTCCGAGCTATACACTGGAAAATGCTTCGTTTAGTATCTTGTTCCCTTCCGCTTCCTCTATCTCCCACGACTCTGCTTCCCACATCTTCCGTCGCTCATCTCTCGATCACCTCAATTGTGCATCCTTCATTGCGCTTTCGACGTCGTCGCCTTTCTCCCCATCTTTCCCAATCCATTTGTTGCTCTCTTTCTCCTTCTTCTCCTTCTAGTTCAACTTCTCAGGTTTCTCTCCGTTTGCGATTTTACTGTTGCTGTTTCTTGCTATTTTTAGTATTCCGGAAGTGCTCTAGTTCCTTCATAAAGATCATCCGTACAACCGCTGGTCTATTGGATGCTAAAGAAGCGGTCTTTATAGCTGCTGAATAGATATTACTTTAAATTGAAATGTTAATGATACGTTACAATCCGTTTTGGTTTTATGCCTTATCTATATGATAAATTAGCAATCCATAACTATGCATGTGCTTCTGAAGTGATATATTATGAAAGAAACACAAATGAAATATCATATGCTTGAACAACTATTATGGTTTTGAGCAGATTAATTCATATGATGATGGTACAAGATTTTGCTTCAGTTTCTTCTTAAACCATTGCGCAATGTTCCTGTTTGTATGTCCTTATACTTGTTATTTCCCATTCTCTGAACATTATTGCAGTGTGTTACTCTTAATTTGCTACTTTTTTGGATGTAAAGGAATTGCTCATATGGTTTTATAATCTGCATGTAATGCAGTTTCGCTTGCATATGTCTGTGTGTTCGCTTAATCTTCTTTGTTGAGCCTGTTTCTTGAGACAACTAACAATTATCTTGAATTGGTGGCTCAGATGGAGGATAATTTGTTGTACTCCAGAGCACATTGGGTCAGTAAATCTTTGATTGCGTGGAATGAGGATATTGGGGATGGGTTTTGCTATCTACTTGCTAGTAGAGATGCCTCTTTGTCCATGGCAAATAATGAAATTCAAGGTCCAAACTCTAACAAAACGTTTAACCTACCACAGTAGTGCAGCGTGTTGAAGAATACTCATGTTTTCCTATGTACAAGTGATTCCTCGTGGACATTGACCCTTTCCAGTGTTAAACAGGTGAAGATGTGAAAATTAAGCTTGAAGAAGATAGAGCCGGCCTTCCTACATATGTAAATTGCTTTTACCCATAAAGCCTTTAAAATTTATTGAAAGATCAGGCCCTGTAAAGGGGTGCCTTTGTGATTTCATTGTGTGTGAGAATTTTGTGGCTCTCATCTACAATGGAAAAGGGATTATAATGATGGTTTGATTACGGAATTACCTCAAAGACGTGTGTATTGTCAGGTGGTGGAAAAATTTCCGCATATTCAAGATTATAAAGCTTTTAAATTGCCAACTTCTTTGGACGTTAAGGATCTTCTCAAATGTCAGTTAGCAGTTGTTATCTATGACTGTAAGTCCTTTATGTTTTCGTAGCTTCCAGAAGCAGATTTCTCTCAGACAATAGTTTCACATGAAGCCTTCATTATCCTATAAGCAATGAGGAATCATTTCAATAATTATAGTACTATATTTCAACATAATATTTTACTCACAATTTGGTTTCTATAATGATGGTGAATTGCAGGGTAAAATTGATAATTTTATCTTTGTTTGACAGAGTTTTTATATTATAGTTCATTTATCACAAATGTTGCAGTGACTTATAATTTGTAGAATCTTTTTGCATTCTGTTCCTTTTTATTGTTTATTGATTATATTGGCATGCTACTCGCGTCTATTTCCTTTTCTCGCAGCTGATGAGAAGTGCAGGAATTGTACTGGTTTGCAGTTACCTGGTGTTATAGATGAAGTTTTTTCATATAATGGCCCCCTTGGTGCATTTTTCTCAAGAGATGCTGTTTCACTTTACCTATGGGCTCCTACCGCTCAGGTATGTTATGTTTCAATCCCCCCCCGGGGGGGGGGGGGGCAAAAAAAATAATGCTTTTACAACCTTAGCTGCAACTCCCCTCAATATTTTTTCATGTTAAAACAGGCGATACATGCTTACATCTACAGGGGCCCAACGGGAGAGGACCCTATTGAAATTGTACAGTTGGAGGAGGATAATGGTGTTTGGAAAACTAAAGGACCCAAGAGTTGGGAAGGCTGTTACTATGTCTACGAAGTAAATGTTTACCACCCTAGTACCTTGCGAGTTGAAAAATGCTATGCCAACGATCCATATGCTAGAGGGTATGTCAATCAAGTCTGTTGGTAACCTCTCATTTTTTTGTAAATTCAATCCAGATTTAAGGATTATTGACTATTACCATTCACTGGTGCTTATTTCTGTTGTTTGCAATTATATAAAAAATTACATTTCCCACTTGCTTTGTTGATTTCTATTTAGCAGACTTTCATCAGATGGCAGGAGGACATTTTTAATTAATCTTGATTCTGATGAGTTAAAACCTGATGGATGGAATGATCTGGCAAACAAGAAACCTGTTCTGCATTCTTTCTCAGATATAAGCATTTATGAAATGCATGCAAGAGATTTCAGGTGAGAAGTGTCATATGCACTATTTGATTTTACTCATAGGCCATCTTTCATGACAATCAGAGACAATAAAGATTTGATGTGAGCTTTTGAAGATTTTATTTGGAAAAAGATCAAAAAACATGTGTGCATGTACGATTAAAGTTGGAGTGTTTTATCTTCTCTTGTCCTTTTCTCATAAGATGTGCCAAATTTATTCGGGATTGTAATTATAATTCTTCTTTTGAACATGAATTCTAATAAACTTCTATCTTTGGGCATTGCACACGAAGATGGATGTTGATAGATTTATGGTTTGACTTTGTAGAAAGAAGAGAAAGGTAACATAAGGACTCAATGAGAGAGAATTAAAAATGAAGAAGACAGAGGGTAGCCGTGTTGTCATATTGCTCTCTGACTACACAATGTCTTGGCTTCTGAATACGCATACTGCTCTCTTTTTCTTTGCTTTTCTGTTTATTTATCAATATTTGTCATTTCTCAATTGAGTATTAATTTTCAGTTATCTTGAGCCTTTGCTTTTAGTATTTCAGTGATATCTATAGGCTAAAGTTTGGACTTCTATTGGTGGCTAAAGTAACTGATGATACAATCTATCTCACCTTAAGAATAACTAATTATTGCACTCAACTTTCAGAACATTTATTGTCAGTCGTCTGAGTTTTATGTAATTTGTGGCTAAAGTTTGGTAACTTTTTGCTTGTTGCCATATAGTGCCAATGACTCCTCTGTGCAACCTGACCTTCGTGGTGGTTATTTGGCCTTCACATTGCTGGTAGCTTTCATCTTCTAATTCTTTCTAATTTTAAAGTTGTTTTAGAATAGGATTGTTAACTTTGTTGTTTTGCAATCTCTTTGTTGCATTTTTGTGGCCTATTATCTTCCTATTTAACAGTACTAATGATGGGAAACTGAGCATTGGTTGAAAAAAATTTTACGTGCAATTTGTGGTCTCAAAAATATGCTCTGGCATGTGTTGCTTGCTAGGTTAGAACCTAATAATATATTCAATTAGAAATTTGCAATCCCTAATTCAAGATTGAAAAGATTACTGTACTGTTAAATGCTGTTGACAAATGGAATAACTATAAATATATGTTTGAAGGATTCAGCTGGTGTACTTCATCTAAAGAAATTATCAAGTGCCGGCATCACCCATGTCCATCTACTTCCAACTTTTCAGTTTGCTGGAGTTGATGATCAAAAGGAGAACTGGAGATCTGTAGGTAAAATATGTTTAATAATTAAATTATATTTTGAATAAAATAGTACTACCTATATTAAATCCTTTTCTCTAATAATGGAATTGTACTTCTTGGAGGGTCAAATTCAACCTTAATATTTTTAGTTCACTATTAGTTAAGGATATGGATATAAAGATAGAAATTTAATTAAATCTCATGTAGTTTTGAGTGTTATAGATTGATCAATGTTCTTAACCCCCTTTTGGTTGCTTTCTATAATAGAAATCTCGTGTAGTTTTAGATATGTTGGTTGCACATGCATTTACCATCTCTTATAGTCTTATGTTTTCGTGACATTTGCGTTTGGAGCATTGGATATTCTCTTGCAAATACTAAATGGCTATACCTTTTAATTTTGAAACTTATACTTGAGATATTTGATAGAGATGTGTTCATGAGTCTACTGACTTAATTTTGCTTATGCTGGAAACAACACACATTGAAGAACATGTGCTTTGCAAATGTCGTTTATTAGTTCATTTTTAATATTAATCCTTTATTTATTTGTTCAAGAAGACATTATCTTGTTTGATTTTTACTATCTTGTCTTTCTGCTATGATGGGATAGTTTTATTTTAAATTTTTTATAGTTTGTTAGACTGTCTGGATACGTTAATCTTTCAGCATCCAATCCATCTAGTTATGTGCTGTTTGAATAGCTGGTATAATAAGATCACAGCCTTGTCTTTGAATTTTTTTCATGGTGTAAGGTCCTAAAGGGCATGACACATTTCCATGGTAAAATTCAACTCCATGATGGCTCGGAATTCAGAGAACAAACGACTTCATCTGGGAAAATGCCTAGTGTGTTCATTCAATTTATGAAAGCTCTCCATTCATGATAATTTGTCACGGATTGGATCGTAACAATTACCTCCAATAGACCCAAAGCATGCTTTATGCATATTACGGATGTGTCAACAAGGATTACATCATTACTAATTCAGCCCCAGCATGCCTAGCTCAAAGAAGCCAAGTACAAAGTTTGGGTTGGTGAAAACAGCCAAATTATGTCTTGGTTGATCAACTGATGATTGAAATCGGGGGGAATTACCTCCAATAGTCCCAAAGCATGCTTTATGCATATTACGGATGTGTCAACAAGGATTACATCATTACTAATTCAGCCCCAGCATGCCTAGCTCAAAGAAGCCAAGTACAAAGTTTGGGTTGGTGAAAACAGCCAAATTATGTCTTGGTTGATCAACTGATGATTGAAATCGGGGGGAATTACCTTTTGTACAAGCGAGCAAATATTATCTGCCAATGTTTCACGGGAAACATATTCCTCTTTGGAGGATACTGCTTTCCTATTTGAAATCAAAAATTAAACCTAATGAATTGAGGCAAGGAGATTTATGTGTTATGCAATATTATAACCCTGTTGTTTATCTTAGGCAGCGTTTGTATTCAAATGGAAATGCAGCAGTGACGCACCACATTACATCAAATTTGCGGATCAGGATAGGGTCTATAGACTTCTTGGCCTAAATCCAATATTTGAATATGTTTGGGGAAGAATCATGACTATTCTCCCTTTACTTTCCCTGAGAAACCTTTTCAGAAGTTGAAAGATAAGCAGGGAGAGAATAATTCAAGGGTCTTCAAGTTCCCAAACCAGCAGCTGAAATATTGGCCTTGATGGCCTGTACTGCTCACTGTAGTGTGACAAAGGGTGGTAAGCTGTGGTACCACTTTTGGCAATTGGGTTGGCCACATGAAAGAGGTTTGCTATAAAATACAAGGGTAACCAGAAAATTAGAAACTAAAACCAAGAGATGAGACTAGTGACTTAATGGTGATCAATGAGGATAAAAGTCTGTTTTGAGACAAATCCTTTTGGTCTTTTTGGCAAGGAAAAGTGAGCGTTGTTAAAAAATTGACTTGGAAATAAGGCCAACAACTCTGCAGAAAAAATTATGGGACCTGGCAATACGAAAGTACTAATATATTAGCTATAAGTTGGGTATGATTAATATTAACATCTTAGCATGAGACACATCGTTACATTATGTGTCATTTTGTAGATTTATCGAACATTAGTTCCTGATTATTTCACTTGACAAGGCATTGGTTTTTCTGGATTTTTTATTTTCTTTTTGTGGTAAGATAATCATATTTTAAAATTTTGAGTTAGGTTACATAGATAGCTATTCTTTCAGCCTCCAGGACATCTATTTTTGTATGCTTTGAATAAGAATCAGATCCACAAATGTTTGAGTTTCTTCAATGTGCAAAGTGTTTTGGCAGATTTTTCAGAACTAGAAGGTCTGCCACCAGATTCAGATCAGCAACAAGCTCTTATTACAGCCATTCAAGACTATGATGGATACAATTGGGGGTAATCTCCAAATTGCTACATTGGATGATAATTCCCACCGTAATTTTTTTTTTGCTGACAATTCCAACAATTCCAACCATAATTTTTACTAAAACTTATTTTTTAACATTGCGTACACTCTATCTTGGAAAGGTACAATCCTGTTCTTTGGGGGGTTCCTAAAGGCAGTTATGCAAGTAATCCAAATGGCCCATACCGTATAGTTGAGTTCCGTAAGATGGTTCAGGTATGACTTTGATGTTTCTTTTTCTCATGTCACTCATGGATCTAAATTATAAGCATCTCATTTTCCATTGTGTAGCAATGACGCTTTAGTTTTGTCAATGTCAGTCTTTTAAAATGATTTTTGGTCTCTTGATAGTTATATTCTTTACAGGAACTTAACCATGATAGTTATATTCTTTACAGGCACTTAACCATATTGGCCTTCGTGTTGTGTTGGATGTTGTGTACAATCATCTGCAAGGAAGTGGGCCCTTTGATGAGCATTCTGTCCTTGACAAGGTCATGAAGTGTCAAGTTTTCTTTGGTCCTCCTGTAATTGATTAAATATTCCATATGCATAGGTGTCATGTTAAGCTTAGCTTCTTTTTGTGAAACATTTGTCTGTTTTAGTAGTGTGACACAAAGTTTCTTAATAGATTGTTCCAGGTTACTATCTAAGACGGAATGCTAATGGGTTTGTTGAGCATAGTACTTGCATGAACAACACTGCCAGTGAGCACTTTATGGTTGATCGTTTGATCATTGATGATCTTATACACTGGGCCGTCAATTACAAGGTAGTTATTTATATCATGTTGATGCAACATAATTCACTGAGGAGCGGCTTCCTTCTGTCTATCTAGATGCACGATACAATGCTGTTATAATTATTAGCCCTTTATTTTTCCTTCAGTTTGTGCCATGGAACAATTCTTATATTTTTGCTAGAGAGTTCCATGTATGTCATGTTGCTTTTTTCCTTTTTCAGATTGATGGGTTCAGATTTGATCTCATGGGTCATATTATGAAGAGCACTATGGTATGTAGCCTTTGACGTTTCACTAGGGTTAACACAGGCTTCTATTTAGAGATTAATGCAATTTTTATTCATGATGCCTGTACACAGATTAGGCACTAAAGTGCAATTTATATCTTCTGCTTTGTTAATAGTTGCATTCAAATTATTTATGGGTGATTTCATATTTTATACTGCAAATAAGTTGGATAGTTCAAAGGATGATTTTAGAAACTTAGGATGACAACCAGAAGACAACTTCAATAATATTAGTCAGAAAGTACAGTACCAACCATCTTACATGCAATTATGATTAAGCCCTTGCCCTTCTGAGTCAAGGATTGTACATAATTTCCTAGCTAGTAAAATAGGTGTTTAACAGCACATATCAATGCATGACATTCGTAAACACAGCCAAGACATCAATTCAGGATTTTGTTGCAGGTGAAAGCAAAAAATGCACTCCATTGCTTAACCAAGGAAAGGGATGGAATTGATGGTTCGAGTATCTACATGTACTTGTTATTTATGTTGTCTTTGTTGGATAAGATTCATTGGTGAATTTATCTCTGCAATCTTCCTAGTTCTCTCTTATAATGATTTCCATATTATGATTTCACCTGATATTTTTCTCTCAACTATTCCTTCTAATTTTATTTTATTTTAAAAAAAAAAAGATATGGTGAAGGATGGGACTTTGGTGAGGTTGCCAAAAATGGACGTGGGGTAAATGCTTCACAGTTTAATCTTTGTGGAACTGGAATTGGGAGGTAAGAATAGTCTCTGCCTTGACTTTATATATTATTCAATTTTCTTTCCTATTACTGCTTAAAATTAATATCATGAGCGTGATATGCTTGATAAGATGTTACTTGATTGAGCATTGTTACTGAGTTCCATCTGAACTACTTTACTGAGGGTGGCGCTGCTGCTTGGTATCTTAAACAAAACGTGGCTATAATATTGTAAAATCTAATTATGTAATTTACTTTAAGTGGTTGTTTCATTTTTTTTCCCTCTTTTTTTTGGCCAACGGTTGTATCATTTTAATGCTAGGAATTGGTCGGTATACGCTTATGAATTTGCTAAATCCAAGAAGCGACCAAATTTTTAGATGCTTTTAGTTTTGTGATTGATTTACATGGAAGTTTTTCTTTTTGAGTTATTTTGAGTGCAATATAGCTTCAATGATCGAATTCGAGATGCTGTACTTGGTGGGTCTCCGTTTGGTCATCCACTCCAACAAGGATTTGCAACTGGTCTGTTATTGCAGGTATCATTCTTTCCTTCCTTCCTTCTTCCCTCTTCTTTTGAAAAAAAAATTATCATTTCTTCACTGATTTAAATGCTTTACCTCAGAGTAACAATCTTCATAGATAAATATCTGTTAGTTGTTCTAATGTCTTTATTCCTCTGTTTCTTTTCCACCTTTCTCTTTTCTTGGTTGACCTTTCCACCTCTCAATTTTTTAAAACTGACTAGAAAGCTGCATGTTGCAACGAGATGTGGAATGCTTGTACCTTGTAGTCATTGAATTCTTATAAGTTATGAATTTAGAAATATAATACAACAACAACAACGAACTTCGAAATATAATACTTCCACATAAAATGATATCTGCACATTAATACAAAACTAGTTATATATATTTATCTTAGAAATTGCATCTAAAACCTTGCACATAAGTAGTACAGATTTTAATGATTTCATATAGTTTCCCAATGGATGCTGCTGTGCATTACGGGTTTGGTTAAAAAAACATAGGGTTTGAGCAAAAGAGAGACTTCTGATATGAAAAATTAAAACGACCATAATTTTCTGGTCAAGGTGCCAATGAAATTTTATTTATACACAGTGAAACAGAATCCTAAAGATGCGGGAAGAGATTAAACAGAAATTAGGTAAGTTCATTCGAGTAGAAATTATGGGCTTGTTTGATTCTATTTATTTGTTTGAATGATTTATTTTGAAACCATGTCCAAAGACAAAAATAAAGAAAAAGAGTATTATGAAAAAATTGATTTGAAAAGAAGTTTTAAGAATGTGAAAACAAAATTTTTGTTCAATTTACTTGTTTTACTTAATACATATTGACATAATTTTCTTATGACAAATTAATTTCATACAACATCAGTGAACTAATATAGAAATGTTTTTGAACTTTAAATGAACATAAAATGATGTAGTTATAATTTAATTTGACATTATTTTAAACGTATTCGGAATAATGGCATTTATGTGAATAGTACAAGTATTGATTAAAAAAATAATTGTACCAGTTTATATTCACCGTATATAATTCTTATAATTAACCGCATTCTGTTTTGCTTTCAATAGATAGGCTAACAAATGTGTCTTCATCCATATTTTACCTACATTTTATGGTTATTTAAATTATATAACTTTTTGCCCAACATTTTTAATTATATAATTATATACATTGCATTGTAATATTCTCACGTGCTGGACAATGTGTATGCGTCTGCTTCTTGCAGTTTCAAATACTATGTCCATCCGCATAGTTGCTAGGAACATTATTTTTCTTGCTAATTATTTCTTGTGGCCCAGGGTAACAAAATTTTCATGCTATTGTATGTCGCAATGGCATGAATATTAAATAAAGATTAATTCAGCCTATACTCTTTCTATTTTATTTGGTTTTCTCTCTTTTTTTTTAAATCCAATCTTTATTCGATTACTTGACTATTTGTTTTTTTTCCTAAGCCATGCTTCCTAAAACTTTTTCTGGACAATAACAATCCTCCTCCCTGCTTGAAGTAACGCAATAGATATCTTTGTTGTTTCCAATTTTTATGTTTCTTGTTTTTGGAGCTATTTCATATTATGGCAAGGCTTCACTGCAATTAGTGATATCAAGCCTATGATGTTATTTATATTTTACTTAGTCGGTTGAATCAGGTGCAATCTGACTTCTGAGTATTAAAAAATTCTTCTATCTGCAGCCTAATGGCCATGATCACGGGACAGAAGCTAATGCAGACCTAATGCTTGGCGCATCAAGGGATCACATCCAGGTTGTTGGACTTCATGCATTTTCTACTTCATTCCATTATCTATTTTTTGGAAGTTAAATATTTCTTCTCATAAAGGATTGGAGTTATGTATTGGAATGTGGTGGTGGGATAATGGAATTTACAGTTACTGTAGATAAAGCTGATGGGGATCTTCATGCTTCTATTTCATTAAGTGGCTAGAGCTTTTGTTTGGCATAGAGAATGACGGAGTATACCCTTTTCTTAGCTCCTCATTTCTATCATTACAATACAATTGAGACAAATCTACATGCACTATTTACTGCTGTGGTCTTTTCAACTAATTTGCTGGAAGAATAATGCATCTCAAATAAACTGTCTTCATCACTTGAAGGGGAACATCTACTGACTATTGCTGATATAATTCATTGCTTTTGCAAACAAGTTCACCAAATTCTTTCATGCTTTTCAGGTTGGAATGGCTGCAAACTTGCGAGATTTTGTACTAACCAATTCTGAAGGAAAAGAGGTATAGAGCTAGGTACATTTGCATTCTTTACTAAGTTTGAACTTTCACCTTTTGCGTACTATTTCATATATCACCGGCAATGGTTGGTTGGTAAACATTGAATATCAGCTTCACCCTACTACTATGATATCTCTATGCTTGGTAGTCCAATCTACACCAACTTATGTGTGTGTGTGTGTGTAGATATAATGTCAACATAGCCACGTGCATAAATATGTGTAGAGCAAATATACTTTGAATAGTCCAATGGTTTATCCGTGTGCGTACTATACAGTATATAAAGAGATTAGGGTATACAATCAGTAAACGGCTGTGATTATGGAGATATTTCCTCCTTGATATTCTCTCCTGATCTACCCAAGATATTCGCCCAAGTGTGTGCCTATAAATCAGTCATATTGTACAATATTTATTTTATATAATTACCACTTTCTGTTATGTAATTATAATTATGAATAAGAAAATACTTAAATATGATATAAATAGGGTTTAAATAAATATTATTAGGATTTAGATAGTATTTAATTATATTAGTAGGATTTGGATAGATTAGGATATCTAGATAATATTAGGATATTTACTTAGATTTATATCTATTAGGGCTTTTGCTTATAAATAAGTATTTGCCATTCTTTGTAACTCAGTTTTTGCAATCTGATTAGAAATTATTCAGTTTCTCTTGATCCTCTACTCTTCTCTAATTCTTCCCTATTTCTGTTACTCTTTTTCCATTCTCTTTCCTCTTTCACTCTCCTATTTCTTTACTTCTCATAACACTTTTCCCCTCAAGTTGGATCATAGATATTGATCATGTCCAACTTGCTTATGAACTTCTCAAAGGTCTCTTCTGACAACCGTTTTGTGAGAATGTCTGCCAATTGCTGCTTGGTTGGAACATATGACAAACACGCAATGCCTTCTTCCACCTTTTCTTAGATAAAATGTCTATCAACTTCAACATGTTTGGTTTTGCTATGTTATATTTAACGCCATGCTCAGAGATGCCTTTTTATCACAGTAGAGCTTTACTGGTGAATCAATCTTCACCTGAGCTTCTTCTATCACCCTTTGAAGCCATAGTCCTTCCATAATACCCTGAGCTAATGCTCTTAGCTCGGATTCTGCACTACTTTTGGTCATATCTCTCTGTTTCTGATACCATGTAGAGCCAATATAGTTTGAATAGTCCGATGGTTTATTCATGTACAGCATATATACATATTAGGGCATACAATCAGTAAATGTTTATGATTATAGAGATATTTCCTCCATATTATTGCTCCTAATCTACCCGATATATTCGCCCAAGTATATGCCTATAAATCAGTCATAATATACAATATTTATTTTATTTAATTGCCACAATATGTTTTCTTGGCATACATTTTATGCATGCTTTCATGTCTCAAGCCCAACATTGGGAGTATGATGGGAGATCATGGGTATGTATGGAGTTCCATCTTCTAATGAGGCTAAAAGATAAGCTGTTGACTGCAAATTGTCCAGATTGTGGGTTGCTAAACACAACAAAAACTGACCCATGATCATTCCTATGAAACTTTAGATTGATCAGGGCTGTTGGCCATAGTTAGGGGCTGTTTCATTCCCTCTTCCAGATAGAAAAAAGGTGTTAATGATGGTAATAGCTGCATTTTGTACCTGTGGCACTTCTGGAAGATGGTCATGGCAGAGATCGTCCTGCCTCTAGGTCTTGCATGAAGACTAATTGAAAGATGCTCAGAGTATGAGTTTTAAGAACTGTAAAGACAACCCCCGGCTAGCAGGTAGGATCAGGACATGAGATACAAGACATTCTCTACCCAATGAATATGAGCTGTACTATGTGATATGTAGGGACCAAACCCATATCTGCTTGCAACCCTGACTGGTTTCTATACTGCATTCATGTTGAAAATATTTTATGCTGCATGCATGTTGAAAATTTGCGTGGAAAAAATCTCACAGGATGATTGAATTTCCTCTTTCCAAAGATTAGGCTGTCGAATTTTTAATACCATCGGCATCATGATGAAATTAAGATGAGGATAACACCATTCGAATCTCAGGTAAAAGGTTCAGAAGTTCTGCTACATGATGGGATACCTGTTGCATATGCTTCATCCCCCACAGAAACTGTAAGCTTCTTCACTTTTAATTGCCATCATCAGTTCAGTACTTTTCATGAAGTATGCACTGTATTAGGAAGAACCAGCAAAATTTTAAATAATAAATGTTCACAGTCATTGTTATGAATTTTAAGAGAGGGGATAAAGCAGTTGGAACGGGCAAAAATTAATTACTTGTTTTGCAGGTTAACTATGTTTCTGCTCATGACAATGAAACCTTGTTTGACATTGTGAGCTTGAAGGTATGCTTAGTACACACAGCATTCTACTTTTTTCCTTGTACTTCCTCCTAACCTCTGGTGTGTTTCTGTCCCTTATTTGCAGGCTCCAGTGTCTATCCCTGTAACTGAGAGATGCAGGATAAATCATTTGGCAACAAGTATTATAGCCCTCTCACAGGTTCCAGCAGTTCATTAATATCATGCAGTATAAAAATCTCAAGCTTTTACCCGTATATTTTATGTACTAATATGTATTCTTGTCTTTAGGTTTGTTAACTTTGTCAAGCATGCTTCTCTTTTCATAGATTATGTTTGATCACGCTATTTTTCACTTTCCTTATAAATTAAGTTTTGAAACACTGGATATTAGGGAACTATAATAACTTATAAAGCTCAGATGTCTTAAGAAAGAGCTGTATCCATGTTCTGACACATTTTGAACGCTACGTGACACTCTATATATTGACACTTGAAATTTTGCCATGTCACCGTCTTTATGTTTGTGTTAGTGTTCTTTTTTTTTTTTAAAAAAAAAAAAAAAAGCAAGTATGTGTTGCCTATGTAGTAAAGGGTTCATAGCATGATGGCTGACTGTGTTTTTTGAAATTTAAGCAGTTCAGTCAATTGGGCCACTGAGTTATTGTGTTACCGATTTCTTCATCATGAAATCAGCCGCTTTCCTTTTTTAGTTTATTATTTCTGGTACTCAGTCATTTATGTTTCTTAGGGGGTACCATTTTTTCACTCTGGTGATGAGATACTCCGCTCAAAATCACTTGATCGAGATTCATACAATTCTGGAGATTGGTTCAATAGGTTGATTCTACAAATTCTCAGTTTCCATAACCTATAACTTATTTTCAATCTTGCAGATAATTCTGTTCAGATAATTCCTTTTCTGTCCTTGGCAATTTATTGTGTTTCCTTCTGCATCTAATATTGGTTTTCCTCCTATGATTTCAGGCTTGATTTTTCATACAATTCTAATAATTGGGGTGTTGGGCTTCCTCCACGGGAGAAAAATGAGAAGAACTGGCCACTGTAAGAGTTTAAACACTTTATCATCACCGTTTAATGTATGCATTTCTTATTTGAGTGTCAACTCATCAGGCAGTATATGATATAAATTACCATATTCTGGTGATGAAATTGTGTGATGCAAAAGATCTTATTATTGATTTACTGTTTATGTACCATCTGTTGCTTCATTTGGTAATCTTGTGTCTTTTTTAATCAGAATGAAACCAAGATTGGCGGATCCATCTTTCAAGCCTCTGAAGAGCGACATCCTTGCCAGTTTAGAGAATTTTTTAAACCTGTTGCGTATAAGGTACTCATCACCACTATTCCGTCTGAGGACAGCAAATGCTATCCAGGTGAATACATTTTGAATATCTTCCTATGGAATCACTGCCTTTATTAATCATGGAAACTAAATGCTCCTTTAACTTGCCAAAGGGAATAACCTAAATTGGTGACCAATTATCTTCACATATGGATATTTCAACTCCACTAAGCACCATTGTTTCCTTTCCTTTTTGGGGCTCATGTTCTTTTTCAGATATATTTTTAAATTTGTCTGTGAACCGTACCCTCATTTGGAAAAGCTAAATTTCAGCTTATCCGGAATTTCCTTTTAGTGTAAGGTATTCCAACTGTCACTTTTTCTAAATCCTAATCTTCTTGGCCTTGTATTTTAAAACATTTCGGTATGAATGGTTTTAGTAGCAGTAGTAACAGTCGTGAAGCTTTTGAAACTCAATTTGACAGCATTTAAACTTCAATATGTAGCATCTTGAATTCTCGATATTTTAAATTCTCGTATTTCTTTTGCTTCCAAGAAATACTATCGTGTAATTTGACTGAATTTTTATTTGATTTAAATCATGATTTGCTTCTCTCTTGTTTGGATATCCTTTGTGGAACCGATAATGGTAGCTAGAGCGCAGAGCAATTCTTAATGCAAATCTCTTAGGAGTTCCAAGACTAAAAATAGTATAATCCATTTTTTTAGGAACGAGTACGATTTCACAATACTGGACCAACATGGGTTCGAGGGGTCATAGTGATGAGCATTGAGGATGGCCATGATGGCGTTTCAGGCTTGTCACAACTTGATCCAATGTATGTATACAAATTGATGGTAATTTCCGGTCTAATCCCAATAACATTCTTTGAATTCATTTTGCGGACGATGGTGTCACAGGTATTCGTACATTGTCGTTGTTGTGAATGCAAGTCCCAGCGAGGTATCATTTGTTAGTCATTCCCTGCAATCAAGAAGTCTTCAGTTGCATCCTATTCAGGTGAAATTACTGGAGATCTCTATCTGTATTTTTTTTTTTTAAAAATCTATTTTTACTATTTAATATCTTATCAGTGTTTTTTCTTTGAAAAAAAAGGTTTTATGTGTGTGTTATACTACCTCCGGTCCTTTATTTTATTATAAGAGCTAGTTGGGGAGTTAGATTTAATTATAAATATAAAATTTCAATCCATTTTGTCCCTAATATTTATCATTATTTTCCTAAACTATCTCGATTGCAAATATTAAAGGAGTTTATATCAAGGGTTTTAATGCAAATGATATAAGAGGGTATTTTAAAAAAAAACTCATACATACTTTTGACAAATAACCAATTTAACTAAATTTCTTAATCTATCCAAATTAATTAAGTAGATCTTATATTAAAGACCGGAGGCAGTATATAAAGAAGATAATGATGGTAGACTGTATATGTGTCAGTTTGTATATGTTGGGATGCTGTTAGACTTGTACGTTTTTTTGTTATTTTGTTTTTGTCTTTGTTTTTTTTGGATAAGAAAGCCAAACGCGTTAAAACGAAGAAGCAAGGTACATGAAACACATGATTAAGCAAACCCACACAAAAACAACACAAACTAGAAACGCAAACATGATGCATAAACACAAACATAAGAAACACATAAACTTGACAAAGTAACTGAAAAGTAAAAACAGATATAACTAATTGGGAGTGATAACTTTTGCGTAACATGCCAATAGAAAAATGTGGGAGAAAATGATTGATTTTCATTTATCTAAAGAGCAAAGTACAAGCTTGTGCATATACAAAGGAGAGTAAACTGAAAAATAAAGACAGATGCCATACGCCCGAGGATGAGTCACTAATCTTTTCTAAGAATTTATTTACAATAGAGTAATAAGAGCTGTTAAATGGAATATATTTGTTTTTTTATTCATGATCAAAAAGAGGGAATATATACATAAGAGAGGAGCCTGGGCATTAATGGCTCATTATTAGGAGATATTAGGGGATAATATCCTATCATATCTGAGTTGATTCGATACTAATTACAATATATTTATATATCTTTATAATCCCCCTTAAATTGGAGCATAGATGTCAATCATGCCTAACTCGTTACAAAGATAGTCAACCCGAACCCCATTCAAAGCTTTAGTAAGGAGGTCACCTAGCTTATCATTGGATCTCACGTGTTTTGTTGAGATGAAGTTTTCCTTGATCTTATCCTGAACAAAATGACAGTCAATCTCAATGTGCTTTGTGCATTCATGGAATACCGAATTAGATGCTATGTGTAAGGCTGCTGTATTGGCACACTATAGTTTTGTTGGTAATGAGGTTTTAAGACCAACCTCCTTCAGTAACTGATGTATCCAGACTATCTCACACACAGATTGTGCCATAGCTCTATATGCTGTCTCTGCACTTGACTGGGACACCACATTTTGCTTCTTGCTCCTCCAGGACACCAAGTTTCCTCCCACAAAGATGCAATATCCTGTAGTGGATCTTCTCGTGGCTTTTGAACCATCATGATCAGTATCACAAAAACACTCAATATCTATGTGACCATAATCTCTGTATAATATCCCACAGCCTAGAGACCCCTTCAAGTAATGAAGTACATGTTCTAAGGTTTCCCATTATCTGATAGTAGGTGAGACCATAAACTGGCTAAGCACACTGACAGGATAGGTGATATCAGGATGGGTCACAGTAAGATAATTCAATTTTCCAATCAATCTTTGATACTTCTCTGGATTCTCAAAGGGCTTGCTCTTAGCGGCATCAATGGGATTCTCAAATGGTATGCTTCCCTGCATTAAGCGGTGCATTATAAACCATAGGGGAACTGTTTGGCGTAGCCTCTAGTTTTCTAGTTTCCTTTAACAGGTCAAGAACATACTTCCTCTGAATCAATAAGATGCCTTTCTTACTTCTCAAGACTTAGACTCTAAGGAAGTACTTCAATGGACCCAGATCTTTTGTTTGAAAGTGAGAGTTAAGAAAGGACTTAAGTGATGAGATCCCTGAGGTATTGCTCCCTGTAATCACAATGCTATCTACATACACAACCAATAGGATTATGCCGGTGTCTGTTCTCTGATAGAACACATGCCAAACTTCTGCACAACAGTACTGAACTTGTCAAACCATGCACGGGGACTCTGCTTCAGGCCATATAAGGATCTCTTGAGACAACATACTTTCCCACGCTCCCTCTAAGCAACAAAGCCTGGTGGTTGCTCCATGTAAACTTCCTCAAGGAGATCACCATGCAAGAAGGCATTCTTGATATCCAACTGATGGAGATCTTAGCCACAAGTTGCTGCCATAGAGATGAAGAGACTAATAGAGGAAAGTTTTGCGACAGGGGAGAAAGTTTCGAAGTAATCAACACCATAAGTCTGAGCATAGCCTTTAGCAACCAAACGAGCTTTAAGGCGGTCAAGGGTACTATCAGCACAAGTTGTAGGGGTTAAGACCCACTTACACCCAATAGCCTTCTTCCGTGTCAGTAAATCTACTAAGGTCCAAGTACCAGCCTGGTTAAAGGCCGCTATCTCCTCCTCCATAGCAACACGTCAACCCGGGTGGGCTAAAGCTTCATGAAGGGTCTTAGGCATGGAAACAAAATCTAAAGAAGAGACAAAGGCATGAGAGACAGGGAAGAGGGGTTATATGAAACAAATGAAGAAATAGGATGGGCGCAAGTACGTTTGTCTTTGCGAAGTGCAATGGGCAAGTGAAGGGAAGGGTCTGGATCAGGAACAGGAGGTGTCTCGAAGTCGGAGATAGGTGTAGGCTCAAGATGAGAGATGCTCAACTCAGGATTTGATGACAAAGCAGATAATGGAGGAGTAGAACCTAGTGCAGTGACAGTGGTCTCCTTTGAACGTCTTGTGTAAACATGAGACACGGGTGATAGTACAAAGGCTTGAGTAGTAGCTGGAACCAGAGGTGGTGGTGTTGGTGGCGAGATAACAAAGTATACCAGAAGGTTGTCCTCCTCCACAGAAAGAGGAGGTATAAGTGAAGCGGAAGGAGAAAAGTATGGAATGAATTCCTGAAAGGTTACATCTGCAGAAACAAGATAATGATTAAGAGTAGGAGGGAAACACCGATAGCTCTTTTGAACCCGAGAGTATCTAAGAAAGACACACTTAAGAGACTTGGGATCTAATTTAGAGACAGATGGTCGCACATCCCGGACAAAACAAACGCACCCGAAAATCCTGGGATTAATAGGAAACAAAGGTTTGGAAGGAAAAAGAGTAGTGTAGGGAGTGTTACCATTGAGAACCGAAGAGGGCATGCGATTAATGAGGAAGCAAGCGGTGAAGACAACATCAGCCTAGACAGTTTTTGGAACCTTCATGTGAAACAAAAGTGCTCGTGCCACTTTTAGGAGGTGATTATTTTTTCGTTCAGCAACATTATTTTGAGCTGGTGTATCAACACAAGAAGATTGATGGAGGATACCATTTTGAAGCATATAGGATTGGAATGAAGTAGAGAAGTATTCTTTGGCGTTATCACTTCGTAAGGTACTAATAGAAGAATTAAATTGATTTTTAATCTCAGCAGAAAAGGCACAAAAATGAGAGAATGATTTAGAATGATTTTTTATTAAATATAACCAAGTTGTAAGAGAATAATCATCAACAAATATAACAAAATACTGGAAACCAGCTGTTGACACAACAGGACACGGACTCCGAATATCAGAGTGAACTAACTCCAAAGGGGATGAAGCCCGTTTGATGACTCGAGATACTAAAGGAAGACGATGATGTTTGCCAAACTGACATGAATCACAATATAAAGATGACAAATATTGAAACTGAGGATAAATCTTTTTTAAAGAAGACAAAGATAAATGACCCAAATGACAATGTGCTTCAAAAGGAGTGACACCACCGGTACAAACCACTGCACGAGAACCTTGCTCGTCAAGGAAATAGTGTCCACCAAATTCATAACCCCTACCAATAATCTTCTTCGTCAAAAGATCCTATATCAAGCAATGATCGGGAAAGAGTGAGCAATGATCGGGAAAGAGTGAGACCCAGCAGTTTAATTGGCGAGTAAGTTTATTAGGGGAAAGTAGGTTAAATGCAAGGTCAGGTACATCTAGCATAGATGACAAGTGAATGGAGGGGGTAGGTTTAATAGTGCCAAATTTGACTACTCAGGAATGGGAGCTATTAGCAATAGTGATAGTTGAGGGATTGGTATAAGAATTATAAGTGGAGAAGAGATAGCGGTTACCTGTCATGTGGTTAGTGGCACTAGAATCTATGATCCATTTAGAGGAAGAAGAGACAAGAGCAATAGCCTAATTATCTGTAGTAGCAAGGGCACTCATGGATGGTGTGAAAGATTTTAATTGGGCATATTCAGCAGCAGAGATTGTAACCTTGTCATCAGCTAGCGTTGCCACATGTACAGAGTTATTACGTTGCTGTTTGTTTTGCAGCTTACAACAAGTATGCTTTGTATGGCCTGGTTCTTTACAATAGTAACATATCACCCCACTTGAATCTGGAGTCGCTCCCCCTTACTTAGAATTGCCACGGTTAGTCGTCCTAGGACTATCATTTGGGCCTCGACTGATTAGAGCACTGACAGGAGCATTGGTAGCTGGTGATGAAAGGTTCTCAGTCCTCATCTCACGAGAGAACACCTCTTGAAGGTTAGAAATCTCAGATCTGGATAGAATTTGAGAGCAAACAGTCTCATACTCAAGTGGGAGACTAGTGAGAAAACTCATGATGGCCATATGCTCTCGTTGAGCTTGTTGAACCTTCAGATCAGTAGTAAGAGGCATAAGGACATTCAATTCTTCATACATTCATTTGAAATCCATGAAGTAGGCTTTGAGAGGACGATCCTTCTTCTTAGCGCAATAGAAAGCTTTGCAAGCCTTATAAACATGAGAGATATTGCCCTTACTAGAGTATAAAAATCCTAAATAATTCATCAGTTCTTTAACAAATTCACAGTGAGTAATAGAAGGGACAATCTCACTATCAATAAAGTTGTGGATCTATAAAAAGAGTCGTGCATCGTCCCGTAACCATGACTAACAAGAGTCAGCTGCGAGGAGATCGTCAGTTAAATGATCCTCTTTCTCAATGCTTCACAAGTAAATACGAATTGTCTTCCTCCAATCCAGATAATTTGTTTAGTTTAATTGTGCTCAGTAATCTTAATAACTACTGGAACCACTTCAGAAGTAATTGCAAACTTGTTATCACCCATGAGAGATTAACAAAATAGAGTAATAATAATTTTAAAAGTGATAAGTAGGAATAAGTAGCCACAAACAGTCACACTAGGGACCAACCAGCAATATCCAGATTTAGTCTTAATCAAACTGAAGACAAGAGGCAGACGACCAAATTTGAATCACATGCCTAACACAGCAACGTTGCTTCACAAGATCCAAACAGCTCTGGATCAATACAAAGAGGAGCACCCAGATCTGAAACTCACCAGGGATGAGCCAAAAAAGAGGGGACGAATCCAAGGGAGAACTTCGGCATCAAAAATCAGCCAAAAAATGGGACGGCGCGTGAACTTACTGTCGCAGGCGATAGCGCATGAGAGCCATGCGCTGCTTGGACGGTAACAAGACTCCGGTGGCTGGCCGGTCGGGACCTTGCGACTCCTCCTGGTCAGCGTGTGCTCCTACCAGAGGCCAGAAACAGAAGCCCTAACGGCAGGCACTTGAGGCTGACAGAGGACCAGACGTGTAAGGCACAACAGATTAGAAAACCAGAGAAAATGAAACCCTAAATTGTCAGCTCTGATACCATGTTAAATGGAATATATTTCTATTTTTATTCATGATCAGAAAGAGGGAATATATACACAAGAGAAGAGTTTGGGCATTAATAGCTCATTATTAGGAGATATTAGGGGATAATATCCTATAGTATCTAACTTGATTCTATACTAATTACAATATATTTACATATCTTTACAAAAGCAAAGATATCTCACACTTCCCCACAAGCTAGATCTTAGATATTAATCATGTCCAAATTGCCTGTAAGATCTTCAAAGATCTGTCTTGAAAATCGATTAGTGAATATATCATCTGTTTTCTCTTTTGATTGTACATGGATTAGGCACACAATCCCTTTTTCTACCTACCCTCTGATGAAATGCCTTATGGTGAATTGGAATGTGGGATATATTTGTGGCAGCCTTGCTACCACAATAGAGTTTATCGATGACTCTATCTCAACTTGTAGTTCTTGCATCAACTTTTGGAGCCCTAGCCCTTTACATATACCATGAGCATACTCGCAACTTTAGGTACAGATTAATGAAAACCCAAGACTTGGCATGCAACACCCTTGTATCAGCGACTCATAAAAGCATAGTAACCTTGACAGAACAAATATCAATCTGAACCATGATGATTTTGAGGCAAATCCCAAGCCATCTCCGAAAATATGTTCTAACGGTAGCATGAAAGAATAGAGCCAAAGAAACTTGACAAATCAATTGCATTGTGTTGACAAAGAGAGTGGGCCCAAAAGAACTGGTCATTTCTATTGATCATGAAAACAGAAAAACAATGTACACTTACACACTTAACCAATCCACTATTTATAGACTATACATAGCAAGCTCCCTAAGTTCCTAAGTCATACAACAAGCAAAGTAAACGGGCCGCGCCTTATAGGCCCAATACACAAGATGGAAAACACCCCATATATTTCATCACTCCCCCTCAAGTTGGAGGGCGGAAGATGTCAATAGCACCCAACTTGGACAACATCCTATTCAATGTTTCAGCACCCACAGACTTAGTGAGGAGGTCAGCTTCTTGACTAGCAGATCGGACATGCAGCAGCTTGATCAATCCTTGCAGGAGCTTCTCTCTGACAAAGTGACAATCAATCTCGATGTGTTTCGTGCGCTCATGAAACACTGGATTCACTGCAATATGCATAGCCGCTCTACTATCACAATGGACATCAACTGGCTCTGTCTGGTTGATCCCCAAGTCACTCAATAATCCAACCATCCACACTATTTCTGAGATTGCAGAACCTAAGGCCCTGTATTCAGCTTTTGCAGATGACCTAGAAACTGTAGCTTGTTTCTTAGTCTTCCACATGATTAATGAACCTCCCAACTTCAAGATATAGCCCGTGACTGATCTTCTAGTAGTAGGACAGGTTCCCCAATCTGCATCACAGAAGCACTTGAGTCTGAAATTTCCTTCAGCACTTAGGAGGATACCACGGCCAGGTGTCCCTTTCAAGTATCTGATCACCCCAAGTACTGCAGCCATGTGTGTCTTTGTTGGGATATGCATAAATTGACTCAAGACCTGCACAACAAAAGAAATATCAGGTCTAGTATTGGTTAAATATATTAAACGACCCACTAGTCGCCTGTAGCGTGCAGGATCTGGAAGCAAATCTGCTTTGCTATCCTTTCCTTCTTCATATGCTCTTAACCTCAGATTTTGAGCCATTGGAATGGTGAGTGGCTTGCATCCACTCAAGCTTGTATCAACAAGAAGATCCAACAAATACTTTCTTTGTGTTAG